TTCTAATCAACCACTAAAATAATTCAAGTAGTTCATAATTGTACATGTCAGAATAAAGTGGTTTTTCCAATGATGAAACCATTTTATATTGCTTTCAAGGTATGTCAATTTCACATAAATGTAAGATCGGATGTACTATTCCAATTCTCAAATTCAATAAATGACACGCATCAATGAAATCATTTTATTGGATTAAGTTCAAGATTAGTAAACATCAATACAATGGTATGCTGTTTTTCTCCCTCAATGAAATGGAATCATACTATTGTAACATTTTGTCGAATAGCCTCGATGAAGAAGATTATTCGATGTTTATGAATATTAACCGATGATAAATGAAATAAGGGCTTAACCGGAAAAGAGGGGGGGGGGGGTATTTTTTTCGTAAAATGATATTTGTCAGGTCTGGTCTGAATGTTTTGGTTTTAACTGTAAAATTTATATACTGCATTAAAGAGAAATCTCTACACTGAATATTTTTAGTCAAAATAAGATCCTATGTCCAAATATATATTGGTTGGCAAATTAACTAGTTTGATGTTTACTCATATTTCCACTAAGTCCCATATACAATACCGGTATCCAACCATATCGATTTCAACGCATGTCGAAATCCGCATCGGATGCTGTTTTTTATTACTTGCATTCAATAGTCACTTATTCCCGTTTAAGATATGGTACAACAGAGACATATACAGTCTCATATGTCTCTGGGTATGCATATTTTATTATGTGTATTAAATTTTTTCCACTTTCGTACTAAAACAATTAGGCGCTTCTTTATTGCCGTAGTTTCGTATTATGAATACTTATAGGCGTGTTTACCTTGCATGTCTTCAGTAATATTGTTGTTTAAATTATTCAACAGATGCTATTGTAACTGTCGATTAGACAACTATATCCAGATAAAAGAAATTAATTAACGATACACTTGACTGTAATTTTATATATTACATGTCTAGATGAGTTTTCAGAAAAAAGTCTTTAGAAGTACGAAGCTTTCTGACGTGCTTATAGTTATGACATCAATCTGGTAGTATGCAAAATCTAATTACAGCTTTTTCATATAAGGTTACATAGACGATTATTATTCCGAAAAAGAACAATTCAAAAATAAATCGACATGTAACGCTATTTAAGTATACTCGTTTAACAGAGTACATTTTGAATATCTACAAACAATAGTATGAAGAGGGGTGTTGCTGTTATATTTGGTTGGATGCGTTATTTGTGCAGCAATATCTTTTTTTTTTGTTTTAAGTTATCGTTTTTCATAATTAATATATACTTCGGATCTAGCTTTCCCTTTGTATTGCACAAGCATCTGCTTATAACGAGAATGTTGTCCTATATATATAATATGTTGTGAATCATTTGAGATTAATAACGGGATACGATTCCATGAACTCTCTGCACTAGCACGATCGATTAAGTCTGTTTATAGCATATGTCATTATCGTATAAACTTTAAAAATTCTAATTTAAAGAATTTATTTTTTCAAGAACCAGCTGAACATAGGACAATCTTCAGTGCACATTGCAGTTGCTTTAAAACGTCGATGTCAATTGCTATTGATAAACAGATAAATAAAACTATCTATCCCGACAGAGAAATCCATGAATAAATGAACTATTAAGGAACACTGCAAAACAAAAATAAAAATGAGAGAAGGCGCAACGGTGACAATCAAAAGCCTAAAGTCGAAGAAAGATAGAAAACACTCAGACAAAAAGAAAAACCATGAAAAGACAAACAACATTATATAGAAAACTAAAGAATGATCTACACGAACCCCACCAAAAACTAGGAATGAACTCAGGTGCTCTGGACGGATCAGCAGTTCCTGGAAAGCTATATTTCTTACTTGTGGAATAAAGGGTAGAAGATACTGGTCAAAGCTATAAGAGGAATCAAATATGAAAATGTATAGGACAGTATCTGGACAAGATAACTCTAATGACAGAAACAAAAAGCAAAACAACCAACCCAGACGCAAACTAACACACACGCTCACAAACACGACATTTTTGAACAGTTTGAACTGTCCCATAATGTATATATCAAGTTCCTACATACAGAGTAAACCTATATCTTATCTGCATCTGCTATTTATTGATTTTGAACTTTAACCTGATCTTATTTGATTCTGTAGGTTTGGTTGATAATTTTGGATGTTCTTGTTTTAGATTTAGGTCTTTTTACACCGTAAAATCGTTTTCAATCTGTCACTTAACCAATAAACCCCTTTAGTAAGTCCAAAAGTGTAAACATACATTGTTGAAGGCAGCACGGTCATCTATAGTGGTTATAACTTCTACGTCGTTTGGTCTCTGTTGGAGAGTTGTCTCATTGGCAATTATACCACATCTTCTTATTTTCATATGTAAGAACCATTTTTTATAGATCGGTTGCTTTGTCGGATGATTTCAGTTATAATAAAGATTTTTTGTGAGACCTACTGGAGCAATGTACCTTTGCTACATCTCATTCTTGTATATGTACAGTAGTACATCATTCTGTTAACATGTACTCTTCTGTTAAAATGAAATATGGACAAAATAGGCGTATTCCGTAACGAAATTTCTTCCTTTTGGGATTTAAAGTCAGTTTATTTTGCATTTGCCAAAAGTAGATATTAAAAAGATAAGTTGCATCAGGAATGAAAAGTATGATCCAGATTAAGTAGGTTAATCTTAATGGTTTAAATGACTACCATGCAGGTTTTTGCACTTTAAGCAAGAGAACGCATCACCTTATTTTCAGGTGCAGTGTAACTAGGTGCAATTTTGTTTAAAGGACAGGCCACTTAAGGCCAAATTGAAATTTTATGATTACACTTCAGCTTTTCAGGACAGGAGTTTTACATATCTTTTCATTGACATGTCAAACACGGTTGAAAATACCCCAAACAATTTAATTGAATATTCCATCTCCTTCAAATCTGCATTACATTTTCAAAACATTCAATGATAGCTTTCAAAAATCTTCTGAAATGTGGTTATTTGACAGAAGTACGCGTGTCATCTTCAGACTTGTAGATAATATACACTTTTCGAACCTCTTTATACAAGAGAGTGACATATCAATGATCTTCGTTAAAAAAATGTTTGTCTCCAGTTAAAATGATTTGAAAAGGGTGGAGAAATTTACATTAAACAAAATGAGAAAGATGGTCTTTTATTTAAATCTTTGTCATGTTTTGAAAAGGTTCGGCAGTTTGAGATGGGTTCAGGTCAAATTAATGTCGTATTCATCAATATCAACTGTTTTACCTGTCTAAAATGGAAAAACAAATATTCAAAAACGCAGAAGGAACCCGAATCCTGCTGTTTATTTGTGATCAAATAACCGCAAATGTTGATGACAAAAAAATTGTTAAGAGACAGGAAATCGAAACTTGTCAAGATTTTTTAGGATAAAAAAAATGATAAAAAAAATTTGACTTGTAGAATCAAGTTTCTTTTATATGTTTGTATATTCGCAGATCAAAGTTTTATAATTAGAACATTTAATAATTAACTTAAAAAAATAAGCTGGCTACTTCTGAAGGAAATTTCTTTAAGTTTCTCTGTGCGTTGATTTTTGTTCCTAATCGTTTGGTATTAAAATGAACCAAAACTGTTTTCACGGAACACAGACATTCTGTCAATTAAAGTTCCTTTTTCTTTATTTTTGTCTTGTTTTATAGACCTTAATAGTTTTAAGGGCTTAATACTATTACCCTTAATGAAAAGAGTTTGAAAGCAAAAACCTACTTAGAATCATTATTTTAATTAACTCGGTCAATTCTAATTATTTTGTGATCTTTGATGTCACAGCAGTAGCCGTTGCTCAAATTTTCTAGTAACCATATATATGCAAAACTTGTGAACTGTTTCGCACTTAAGATTGACATTAAAAGGGTATAAAGTTCAAATGTCATTTAATAGTCCCCTGTGGAAAAATTGCTCTTTGAACGTCTAAATACTCCAACAAACAATTCTGACTTATTAGTTTCGTATTTTTTCAACATTTGAAAAGGTGGCTTGCATAAATAGAGTTGTATTTTGATAGAGCTATTTTGTGCGATAGTACCACTTGGATCGTTGCGGCAGTTTATATCCTTTTACATTTGATTGACATGAACATTGTTCGGATGGGGGATCTTTTTACGAATTACCAGACGACACAATCACTTTGTTATTTTTCTTGTAACGATGATATTTATTTTAACTTGATACAAGACTGGTTTATATTTTACTGTTTATAGAGGCGTTCGTCGCCGTGTAAATTTGTCTTCTTCACCACCTCTATTTCATGTATTTTATAGTCTATTAAAATTTGTGATATTTTAAGAAAAAAATTCCCACAGTGTAATATTGTAACTTTACTAGAGTGAAGTTAATTCTACGTGTCTGAATGACAGTGAAAAACTGAAACAACTACATATAAAATAAAACATATTTCTTTTTTTTTCATTCATTTATATTTCTTTTTATTATTTAAACTTGTTTAGAAAAACAAAACAATCTCTTTTAATAAAAGTTTCATCTTAAACTGTCGAATAATGGTTTCGGACTATTCAAAAATGTTTAATAATAAAATTAGTTTTGGAGTTTTGAAGAAAACACGAAATAAATGTATACCTAAATATATAGAAAAAATATTTAAAAATTTTCATTTTGTTTATGATTGTTATTTTTAGAAATCAATAGAAATATCTTGAACATTGGATATATGAAGTTAAGTATATATTTTTTGAATCATATGAAAAATAAATCACTATAAATTAAAAAAAGTATATTTCATATTTTCAAATCTAGGAAATTTTCTTCACAATGAGTACTGTTCATACAATGAAATTTTTTTTTTAAAAAATATTAACAAGAATATTCAGTCGGTAAGAACAAAATATTTATAAGTATGGAATAAAGACGTCAGCGAATTTGTAAAATATTTTATACGCGTAAGATATGTTTTTATTTTACAAATTAATTAATTGATTTCTTTTTCTTTTCAGTGTAAAAGTTAAAGACTTGTTTCCAGACTAGGTAAGCATGTCTTTCTCCACCTTTTCAAAAATTCATTTACACAGTAACATTGTGTATTATAAAATAAAAATGTAAAAAGATTTTGTTACCGCCTCATTGTATTGAGGTGACGTCTTTGGCGAAAAAGATATAATTTGGATAAAACTTGACTTTTATAATAAAATGATACATGTAAACTAAGTTGCTTCAAATTCTATTTTACAATTGCTTTATCTATCAATAAATAGTTGTTTGTTTTCCATTTGTTCGGGTTAAAATCTGGGCCACTGCCATTTTTGTTCTAATAAAAGAGTTGTGAAACAGATACCAAATGATGTATGCTAAAAAGTATTGTGTCTGATACGGAACTATTTAACTTCATTTTAGGGGTACCTTTAAAACAAAAGTTAATGTTTTGGAATTTCTTACTTATTGTTGACACAGATTTAAAAACATCAAATTTTTCATAGACAGAAAATAGGCATGTACATAGTTTAAACAAATCTATTCAAATAAATCAATACAAAGTATATAATTCTGATACATGAAATAAATAAAAATTGCTTTTATTAATCTGTCTCCTAGTATATATACACTTAAATTTCTTATATGGTCATTATCATTAAGTATGGCATGTTATAAAATAGTCAGTTTGTAAAAAAAATAAGATATTGAAGTTTCATAAAAAAAAATACTGGTATATAGTATAGAGTGTTGTGTGCAGAATGAAATGCTAAGGTTTTATAAACGATCGAGCATTTGCATCAATGATTGAATCGTTTGTTTTTTTATTATATATTTCTGTACCAAAATAAATAAAAGGCTGTTTTGCTCGTCCGATAGTACGGTTGAACCAAACAGCAAGGTATTGATGTCAAATTGAACCGGAAAATCTGAAATTGAAGCCAGAGGTCCAAGATGAAGGCATGTACATATTATCAATATTTCTTTCTTTTATTTTGAGCCGCAAGCAGATCTTAATTTATTGAATTTATATTGTAGATTTGTAAAATTGGACTGCACTTTGAATTAAAAAAAGCACAGCAACAATTACTTGAATGCAGAATCTATAGGACCCTTCCGGTTCTGAATGATTAAAGAAATATTTTTCGTTATCTTGAAAATTGAAATCATTTTAAAATTTAAATAATAAATAATTTTATCCATTTATAACATTTAAGAATTTAATTTTATTAACATTCGGAAGATTATCAGAAGATTTGTAGAAACGAATGAAGTTGTCTCATTGGCAATCATACCACATCTCCTTACTTTTATAAGTACGTTTACTTATTCAAATATCGAATAGATTTATAATTGATACAAAAGCTTAGGAAAACACAGTTGCAGTTTATACTAATTTGTTGATTCTTTTATTCTTGCTAAATATTTAATACCAACTGTAGCATCAAATTCTGCTGTTGTACGCAGGCGCAGATTTGTGGTAGATACTCTATTCTTGGGAAATAATACCAAGTAAAGTCTTTGAAATGTTTTTTTGTTAAAACAAGGTTAAATATTTAGAATTTATTGACATTTATTTATGAAATAAATTTCATTTTCTGAACTCCATCAATTTCCCACTGGTGGCAGCCATTTTACCGCCAATGTTGTCATATACATGGTAATGTTCCACAACAGCGATTTTTAGCAAAAGTTCTGCCAAGGGGCGGTTGTCCTAGAGACGGTTTATTCTCATGTAAATGTTTGAACGAACTGAACTTACCTTTCGCCAGAGAAAAAAATAATCCAAAAGAATGTATACATATATGACTTGAAGGCATTTTAAAAGAAAAAGATCACCATAAGCGAATACTTGTAAGAATCACAAATTTTTAGCAATAGTTTACTTTATACCTCTAGTAACGTCTAAATCCGACAACAAAATAAACCATGGGGAATCTCTAAGTCTACTCGACTTCCAAAATGACAAACGACCTTTTATAATAATAATTTATCATCTTGACAGATTCGAAAATAACAATTCCCCCTATAAAAAATTCCCGGGAAGAACAAATCGTATCTTGTGCAAACAGATATAATTAGGAGTCTGAGTTTAAACACATTTATTGTAATCATTTTCCACTTTTATTATCGTCTAATTTACATACGAAAACATGATGAACGAGAAATCGAGTTGTATCGACCTCTGCTGAAATTGTTGTCTTTCTTCAGATTATAAATCATTCGGAATACATCGGACTTATCTGAAGGGTTGAGAAAATACGGTCTTCTCATCGGTCATTAATCTACAATTTCAAATTAAAATAACATAAAATAACTTCATTTACAAGAATTTTCAGTCGAAAGTAATTTATCATAGTGTGCAAATAATTATTTTATAGCCTTAAGTGGTTTTTAATGGCCAAGTAATGACCAGTTTTAGCTATATAAACGACTTATCCTACTGTCTAGAACAATTGACTAAACGTCCTAATACTAAAACATGATATATTTTTCCCTATACTATGTGTAATCCTTCACATCTGTATTAATTTTCTTTACATATTAAATTTGCCCGCAGTTCTACGTTGGTTGTTAAGGAATAAGGATGTTTCAAATGAAATTCACTTTGGAAATTATATAAAATAGTTTTAGGATAAATATTTATTATCTATCATGGTATCCCTCGACACAGAAAGTATTCAAATGAACACGTATTTTAGATTTCTTCAGTGTGCACTTTGTCTTGTTTTGTTTCGGTTCATTCGAGTGTCTGTGGAATTTGTCTCATCGAATACACCGGAACAGTTGCCAATATATAAGTAAATAGAAATTTCTTTACTATTATAACATATTTTAAAGGAATACTTCCAGGTTTTTTGTAATAAATATTGTGATATTTGGTGCTGCTTCCGCTTGTGCGTTAAATTGTGCTACTTCCGGTTATATGTGAAGGAAACATCATGTCTAAAATCTACATGGTCTGTGTAAGCTACAAAAATACCGGATCTTAAAAATGAGAAATTTCAAATGATGGAATTCATTAAAGTGAGAATCTTTGAGAAATATGAAATATGAAATTGATGGATACATATGAATGTCATTATTACTGATATACAAGACTTTAAGTAGTATCAGTTGTGGACTGCTTTTTGCGATTAACAATAAAAATTATAGATGCCATACAAGTTTCTCATTTTCATCAAATGGGAGTTGTCTCCCATTTATGTAAAAAAAAATTGCTTTAATAGGTATTCATTTTACAGGTTAAAAATATAATTGTAAAAAAATCAAATGGCAAGAATGAGTCACTTACAACAAAAATTGGCCTTGTGAAGACTGGAACTGATTATTAGATTATCATAGTTTGTTCAGAAGACACCGACATGATAATTTTCCGCATAAAGTGCATGTAAATGACTTCTTTCCTGATATTATGTGATGTAGGTCAGGCTGTTAGTTTTGTTTATCAAATTCTTCGCCTTTGTATTGTTTGATTTCAAGGACATGTTGTTAAAATTATGGTTTTTTTGGGTCTAACATTTGTGCGTTGTTGCTACGTATTTTGATCTTGATTCGGATGACTTTCATAGTAAATGACTGGTTTGGTTCCGGAATACAGCTGTTTTTCGCCATTGTCCTTGGAATTAAGAACACGACGATGGTTGTTTTTGCAGTACTCCTAGGTCAATTGTTAGAGTGCTTTATTAATGCTGCCGGTGTTTTGGAATTTACATATCTGCATTTTTTTTTTAGAATTAAGAATATTATCTTTACTCTCACAGAGAAAAAACTCCAGTATCATTGACAGCTTTAACTCACAATTTTTACTTGGGGATTTAAGAACACGACGATATTCGTTTTTGCATTACTTCTAGGTCAATTGTTAGTGCTTTATTAATGCTGCCGGTGTTTTGAATTTACATATCTGGATTTTTTTTCAGAGTTAAGAATATTATCTTTACTCTCCCCGAGAAAAGACTCCAGTATCCTCCTGCATTTGATACTGTGTATTGAATAAACCATTATTAATCATAATTTGCAGCTGTTTTGTAAATGTAAATGTTGAGATAATAGATTGGCATAAAATGTGTCATTTTCTCTTTCGATTACGTCAATCACTCAACAGTCGTTGAAAATAAGATACATAAAATGTCGATATACTGCCGCTATTTCTCAGATTTGTGTTGGCCAAGGACTTGAATTGTATGCTTACATGTTTCTTTATTGTCAGTATTAGTCTACTGTTTATTCTTAAAACAAGTTAGTACATGAATAATTGCTTGCAAAAGTAGGAGGCCGATTTTTTTTAGTTGTATGATGATTTGGCTCTGTAATGACATGTATCTTGTCAGGTTTGTCCTCGTTTTTTGATATTTAACACTCAAAAATAGAGACAAAACAAACAAACAAAACACTCAACTATGCTGACTAACATTTCTGGGGAAATAAGCCTTATTTTTTTAGACGATGATCGTTAACAATCCGGAAAAAAAACCAGTACGGAAATTTAAATAGTCCTGCTAGATTGTTGTTGTGTAACAGTTAAATGGTCGTTCCCTAACTGGTCAAGTTGTCCTGTCAACATTGGGAATTGGGTGTTGATAGCAGATCTTTCATAATTTATCGAATTATTCACAACTTTTGTAGATTTCGGCGTTTTAGAAACATCTTAATTATTTCATTTTAGAAACATTCCATACTGTTTTCTACAATTTCTAAGTCAGCTTTTATCTTCTGTACCGAATAACAAACAACCACCCCCTTTTTTACTGCAAAATTCCAATTTTTAAATCTGTTTATTTAAATACGTTCTGGATCACTTCTAAAACGCATTTAATTGTTAACATACAAAAATTAAACCCACTAAATTTGAAATGTTTGTGTTTACACTTGAATACATAAAAAAATTTGAATAAAACAACCAGCTGATCAATGTTGCATCTCAAGAGTTTCTCTCTATCTGTCATAGTTTTCCAGAGGACAGCAAAAGAATATTAAAGCAATCAAATTGGTAAAAGACGACATTTCAGGGCGAATGTCTTGCGATTTTGGCAATTGACTTATTGTAGATCTTA